GCATTAAAGGCAACAGATGCAAAACGCGAGGCTACATCGACTGAAATCTGATCAGTATTGAGAAGTTTCATACAGGCATGGACACGTGTGACCCATCCCATGTTTCATGACTATCAGTTTGGCTCAGCAGTATCAACCAGGTGTCGTGTACATGGTCTGATCCCAGGAAAAGAAGTGAGACACTGGTTTCCATGAACAGAATAATGACCCCCCCCCACCCCACCCTCCTCTCTTCTCTCTCACCTTCCTCTGGTGGTGTATTAGTGGGATTAGCTGTTCTCTGTCTGAGTGGGCTGATTGGATTGACGTGTTCTCTCTACATGATCCTTTCCACACAGGAGAGACAGACCTCTGCTCTCAGGCTGCATTCTGAAGCCCTTTCATTTCCTCGTGCCACATTTTGCTCTGACTGTATTTACAGGCTGCAACTTGTAACCTTTTTCTCAGATGTGTTGTTGAGGTCAGTCAATCAGAGCTCAGCTCAGGACAGGCCCTCTTCACTGGAGATGCACTTTGCTATCTGAAAAGGTGTCACGAGTTTTACGTAGTTTAATAAATATTGACAAGCGATTGCCATGGAGACGGACTGAACGTGATGTCAGATCAGTGATCTCAGGCACTGGTCAGGGCTTGAGTTCTTATCAGTGGTGATGAATTATTCAGCCCGTCCCCCCGCCTGTTAACACAGAGTATAAAAGAGTTCTGCAAAATGCTGCAGTGGCTCACAGCTGCTCGTACAAAACAGGAGTGGAGTGTGAGTTTGTTGTCTGGGTGACGTGTGCAGTGTCTTCCACACGACCACACGTTTTGTATATAAAGTGGATATGTCAGAGACACAGAGTGAAAGGGTCAGTTTGCCCAAATCCCCTATTCTCACATAAATTGTTGGTTTTATTTGCTCTGGGTTTGAAATACCCTTCTCTGAGGTTTCTGCCTTCACCCCAAAACAGAATTTTATATGTGGTGCTCTCTGCAGTAAAAAGTTACATTTAAAAAAAAGTCTACCAAAAAAACAGGACAGGACTACTGTAGAAACTGTTATAGATAGTGTGCTTTATGGATCCAGAGTAACAGCTACTGGGGCTTATTGTTTTTTTTTTGATTTTCATATTTAATACCATGTCTCCACTTAGTTTAAATGAAGAATTTGACTTTTCTCCTTTCCTGTAACAACATGTGAAACATTTATATTTTACCTTTGCTATGACGGTGGGATAGCATAGCATTATGTCCATCCACGAATGATTCATTTGTGTAAGCAAATTTGATTGCCTCAGGGCCCTCTTGCAGAATTGCGATGATGGCAGAAATCTCAGATGCATATCTCAAAACATGACCAATAAAACTGAAACTATCAGCATAATTAGAAACCACTTAGTGGGGAAATATATTTTCCTGACCCAGACCTTTAATGTCATGTGAACACAAAAGAGCGTTAGATCTAATTTGTCTAGTTAGCAAAAACCCTTTAGAAACACGTGAATGATTTAAATTAGGTGATAAGTCTCTTGTTGTAGGGTTGGATGTGTCTGAATCGACATTTTGTGTTAATAGTTTGGCTTTATGTAAATTTGCCTCTGCCACTATCCCAACAGCACTTGAAAATGACTCAGCACATTTTGTTCTATTGTCTTCTCAATGATTAGTCAGACCAGGTGGTAGAGTTTATTGCTTCAGAGTAATTCTGTCCAGCTATGCTGTCATTACTAACAGGTAAACATATCCCCTTTCCAATTGGTTCTCTGACTGCCTTCACATCATTGTTCCTTTGTTATGTGTGGAGAACTACACACATAGTTGTCTACCTTCATTTCATGACCGGAACCTAGAACTGTGACATTCTTGACCCTGTCAACAAAAGCTGTAGTTGGTAGATTAAGTCCAGCATTAGAGGATAGAAAATATTTAAATGATATAACTCAAGCAGTCCCCTAGTTTCTGCTGAGTTGACCGGCTCGGGCGCTTTAGTTCTGGTTGAAATGATTACAGGATCAGCAATGACTCAACAGTTTATATGAAGCACTTAGTGTGATTCATTTTTCCAGGTCATTAACCCACGCCTACATCGTGCAGTCCTGGGGTTCTGTCAGTCGGCTGCAGTTTGAAGTTACAGGACAACTGGATAATGTGGAGAATTTAGCAGAGTGCGTGGTAGAAAGTACTTAAGTGTCAGTTCAGTAACCATGTTTCAATAACCATTCATTTTTAAATATAGTGAAAAAAAAAGAGAAGAAAAACACCCACAATGTCATTCTGTTCAATAAACCTTTTTTAATCTCAACAGCAAGTTAGCTTATGTGTGGTCAACATCAATGAAGGTAAATATAAAACTGGATTTCTATTGATAGATTGATGTTTTTGTTTTATCAGCAGGAGGTGAAATTATGATACTTGGAAACACGTCCACTAGAATCTTCATGACTTTAGTCTTCAACTAGAGAAATATTGCTATAATACTTTTAAATGGCATACACTGATTGACCAACAAGAAAAAGCACAGTAGAGAAGCTGACAAAGAAGCTCCAAAACTCCACACGGTGGGTCGTACAGGGAAACTTCTGAGGGACTTTGGTTTTGTACCTTTGTAAAACCTGGCTCTACTTAACTTTCGGGAAAAAAAAAAAAAATACAGAAAAGAAAAAACAAAATCCAAAATAATAAAATAAATGATAAAAGGGTCCAACCCGAAATAATGGCGCTATTCAAAATCTTAGTTTAGATTGAAAATACGAAAAGTAAAAGGCACACTGAACACTATTCACGTTCAACACAAAATTCACCTCGGTGCAACTTGAGCGAGCACTGAAGATTCACTAAACCCCTAATCTGTACAAAGAACACTCATCGTTAACTGAAAAGTGTTACTCTTTCTTGGATCAAAATCAACAATCAGATAAAGTCTTACTATGTCTGGTCTTTCTTTGAAAGAAATTTGTTTTGTGTCCATTATTGGTGGGGAAGAAAGAGGAGAAAGGTGTTTCCTATAGATTGCGGTGCGTTTCATCTGCCAGGAAACGGCAGAGCAATACAAACCCTTTTCCAACTCCACCACAATCACCTCCTCCTCTCTCGCTACATCTCTTCTTCCCCTCGTTGTCAAAGTGCTCCAGTATTCAACTTTCACAGATCATCCTGCAGCTGTTCTAGTCTGACCACTGACAAAATGAGAGAAAACAATCATCAAAATATTCACCTAAAAGCGAAATCCACCCCCTAATACTCATACACTGTCATGTATTAACGAAGTAATATAGTTTCATGTTGAACACTTCCTGTTTTCGAAAGGACATTTTCAACATCTCACAGAAACTGGGTGTAATCTTATTCCTGTCAATAAATGTGGGTGTATGAGCATATAAACATACTGCTAGCTAACTAGTTTGTAAATTTTAGGGTGGAACTATTAATGAAGTCACAAGACCTGTTTTGCAACATGTCTTGTGGCTGCAGTGCACTCTGGTCCACAGAGGCCATTGTTGCTGTTGTTAGTGTCTGTGACTGATAAATGTCAGAGCTACAAGGTGACTTACTGAGCTTTTGCTCTTACATCCAGAGGGACTGACAGGGAAACTTGGTGTTTCACAGATGTGTTAAATTCCAGAAATGCCTCAATGTTATATACGTTATTCATTTAGATACTCAACATATGGTTTGTCATTTTTTTTTTAACACAAAAGTACCGGAAAGTGACAGAAATATGCCAGTTTTTTGTCTTAAACTAAATATGTTTGGAGTTTGGACTGTTGCTTGGACAAACCAACCAATCTAAATATGAGAAATTATTAGTAATTTTACAGGCCAAACAATGTATTGAGGAAGGAAATAAGGAATATAATAAGGAAATAACCAGCAGATAATTCCATCATTAGTTGCATCCTTCATCTCTTGAGAAACAGTGTTAAAAGCATTTTAGGGTGGATTCTTCCTTTAAGTCTTGCACAGGACTGCAACTACAGTTGGTCCACATTTTCTAGCCACCATTAAAGACTATTAACTGCCGCTATAAAGACTCCTAGTCAAACCACATCTGCACTTTACTGATGGTGAAGATATCTCAGTCTTGTCCACGAACAGAGTGACTGCCTTGTCTGAGAGTGAATCTGACCACAAACACTACACTTTAACCACTGACCACTGAAGGTCACGCAGTCTGGCAGATGGTCACAGTCCAATAATCTCATCTCAACCCTCTGACGCTCGCCATCCTGTTATTCCAATGAAAACTTGTTTTCTTTAAATCAACATCATCTGTCAGAGAAGATACATCTGTGCACTTCAAGTAGATTGAACACAGTCTTAAGTGCTGTTGGAGGAAAAAAAAAAAAATCTCTCATCCTGTTGCTGGCTTGCTGTCAGTCAAAGAGTGGTGGTGAGCCAATAGTCAAAATCCAGGTGACGGATGATGTTCTGCTGGTCTTTGTCTCACAGCAGCCCCAATGTCAGAGAGGAAACATTCTTTCATTACATCTAATGCAGGGAATCTTGAAGGGGTCATTCCATTATTATAAACACGATTCGTCATTAAACCAACACAGAGGCATAACTGGAGCACTGAATGATGTAAACCAGAATTTATCTAAAAGCTACATCTGTGCACTGAGGGAAAAGCACAGTTTGTGTTATTTCAAATCAAGGCGTCAATACAGTGTTTGTTTTTTTCAGTAATGACGACATGATGTGGTGGATGTAGAAAAATTTGAAGTCTGAATTGTACACACACACACAAACACACACACACACACACACACACACACACACACACACACACACACACACAC